CATTCTGAGAGAGGGAGATTTATCCTCTCTTCCTCCTGACAGCATTTCATCATCTGAGGGTGATGTAAGAGGCTCTGAAGTCAGGTCCCACAGCTGGGGGAAAGCATCTCTCTTCTACTGCCCAGCCCCAGCCCCCTCCAATCTGCCTGGGGAGCACTGTCCACATCTGGAACCGGCAGCTGGGTTCTTCTCTTGGTCTGTGTCCAGAGCGGGGAGTTGGGTGAAGAGAGAGGCAGCTGGTTGAGGAGCCATCTGAATGACCCCAATGTGTGGGAGAGTGGGGAAGAGAACAGGGCAAGGAGTGCTGGCAGCTGGGGCTGGAGAAAGCCTGCGGATCCCAATGATTGCAGGCAAGGATTCCAGACCAGGGGCTTCCAGGAGACCCTGGACTCCATTTGTCCTTCCAAGATTTCCTCTTTTCACATCCTGTTTCTTGACCTCTTCCTGGGTTCTCTCTCCTCCCTTGACAGCTTGTGCTAGCTGTTGCCCCAGCTTTCTCTCATTTCTGACGCTTCCCTCAGTTCACCTCCTAGGCCCTCGTCCAGGTGTTGGGGTCTCTTGTTCTCTTGAAAGTAGAGATCATTTCTTTTTCTACATTTGTATCATCATTGCCTAGCACTGTGCCTGACGGAGTAGGTACTTATGAAATGCTTGTTTATTAGTATCCTTTCAACCCCAGGGCAGCTTCCCTCTCCTGAGATGTCCCACCTCTTCTTTGGAACAACTTTCACTGAGTCCTATTTAGGATGACATGAGGAGTCATCTGTAGGTCATATGGAGTCCTTGGGGGTTGGGTGAAGAGAAGGCAGATCTGGGCTCAGAGAGGATGGAAGAGTAGTTAGGATCATTTAGAGGACCAGGATGGATAAGAAGAAAGGTACATGCATTTAACATGCAATGCTGGGGGGGAGAGGGAGGGAGGAAAGGGGCGGGGAGAGAGGGAGAGAGAGAGAGAAGAAGAAGAAGAAGAAGAAGAAGAAGAAGAAGAAGGACAAGGAGGAGGAGGAGGAGGAGGAGAGAAAGAGATAGAGAAAAGAGAGAAGAAGAAAGGAGAGATAAGAGGTGTCTTTAAGTTAGACTAGAAAGAACTTATTGGATGGAAACTCTCCTTCCTTTGCCTCATTTTTGTGCTCTATTTCCCTAAATGTGGGTGTCCCTCCTATTCTCTCTCACAGAGTGGTCTCATTCCTTCCTCTGGCTTCAGTTTCCACTTCTATATGGATGGTTCATCAGATCTACATGTACAGCCCTATTTTCTCCCCTGAGCTCAAGCCCCCCACCCCCATCCCCCCACTGACTTGAATCGGCTAGACTTCTCCACCTGGATATCCTTTTTGCACCTCATAAACAATACATCTCGAATTGGATTCAAAGGCAGCTGGGTGGTGCACTAACATAGAGCCCCTCCCCACCTCCAAGTGGCTGGACTCTGGAAAACCTGAGTTCAAATTCAGATTCAGACACTTAATAGCTATGTGACCCTGGGCAAACCACTTAATCTCAGTTTCCTCATCTGTAAAATGGAGATAACAGGATCAAATGAGATAATAGTTGTAAATACAATTTTGTAAACACAATTCTTGACACATAGTAAACACTACATAAATGTTAACTATTATTATTCATTCTCTTTTCCTCCTAAACCTGCCTTTCCTCTCAACTGGTCTATTTCTGTTCATGGCACCTCTTTCCTCCCGGGTACCTAGGAGTACCAGAGTACCCAGATACCCAGGTACCATAGTCAAAGATGACTGTCCCATAGATCATCTTCCATATCCATTCAGTTGCCAAGTCATGTCGATTCTATTTCTTCTGTATCTTTTTCTACCAGTCCCTTCCTTTGTATTTCTCCCATTTTAGGTCCACATTACTGTTTGTACAGAGTATTATAATGGCCTCCCGATTGATTAACATGCCTCCAGTCTTTCTCCTCTCCAATCCACTTCACTCAACTAGCAAAATCATCTTTTAAAGGTAGAAGTCTCACCATGTGTTACCCCTTCTCAAAAACCATCAGCAAAAAAAAAAAAAATTAATTTTAAAAAACCATCAGCCTCTCCCAGTTCCTTCTATGATGAAGCCTAGTAATCCAGATCTTCAATGATCAGTTGCCAACCTACCTTTCGGACATTATCCTCCCTCCTTTCAGAGTGTCTTATGTTCTGGCCAAACTGATCGCTATTGGTCTGGGTGCTGCCTCTTAGACCTCCTTGTGTGGGCATAAACTGACCTTTATAGAATACCTCCACATATCTCTTCCGCATCTCCATCTATCAGAATCCTTTTCTTCCTTAGATCCTGCCTTCTCAATGAAGCCTTTCCTGATTGCTCCCAGCTGTAAGTAGTTTCTCATTTCTCAGATCAGTTTTGTTTGGTTTTGTTGTCAAGACAAGATTTCTTTTGGGATTGGGAATTCCAGGTAAGGTTCCTTCTACCAATGTGCCTCTGTTCTTAGAAAGTTCCCTGTGGCCCAGAGAGGCTAAGTGATTTGCCCAGTGACACATTGCCATTGTGAATCAGATGTAGGACTTGTAGCCAGATCTTCCTAATTCTCCAGCTCTTTCCCTACTCTCCCATTATAGGATGATAGATTATTTAGAGCTGAAGGAACTATCATCTATTCCAACCCTTCTTCTTTTGCAGATAAGAAGAGGTTAAGTGATTTGTTCAATGTCCCTTTAGGAGTAATAGACAAGGTCAGAATTCAAACTCAGATCCTCTAAATGGGGGTAGCTAGGTAGCATAGTAGTGCACAGAGCACTGGGCCTGAAGTCAGGAAGACTCATCTTCCTGAGTTCAAATCTGACCTGACACTTACTAGCTGTGTGACCCTGGGTAAGTCACTTTACTCTGTTTGCCTCAGTTTCCTCATCTATAAAATGAGCTGGAGAAGAAAACTGGCAAACCACACCAGCATCTTTGCCAAGAAAACCCCTAAGGAAGTCATGAAGAGTTGGAAACAATTGAACAAAACCTCTCACTTAGAATGGAGTTCTTTTTCATAGCAACACATTGATTGTCTCTTCATATTTTCAGAGGACTTTGTCTGGATCTCTCCTTTGTCCTATTTAACTTTCAGATAGCTGATTGTTTTTTCCTCTTTTTGGAGGACAGAGATTGAATTTTTTTCTCTTTATATCTCCAGCACTCACACAGTGCCTTGCACCTAGTATATGAGTAAATATTTGTTGAATTCCCCTAAATCAAGGTTGCTGCCCACTGGAATGAGAGAGGTCATGAAATTGCTTTGGGGAGGGAGATGACGTGGATTATCCTTTAAGTATGATTGGGTTCATTCGTCTAAGGCTGGGGAGATTTTATGTCCTTGGCACACAGTAAATGCTTAATAAATGCTTTTAAAATTAATTTATTTTTCCAGGGATTCACCTGTGACTCTGAACTCCAGGACTGGGAGTCAGGAAACTTCTGGCTCTACCTCTGAGTCAATAAGTATTTATTAAATTGACTATCATGTCAATTTAATCAAGGCACTGGGGATGCAAAAACAGGCAAAAACAATCCCTCACAATCTCATCCGGGGAACAACAGGCAGACAAATATCTTCTGTTTTTCTACCTAAGGACAGATTCTGCCTCTACGCTTAACCTAGCCATGTGACCTTGGGCAAGTCACTCGCCTACAATTTCAGAAGATTTTTGTCATGTGTAGAGTAAGGGAACAGGGCTAGATCATCTTTAAGGTCACACCCAATTAGGGGTGTGCTGGAACCAGCTTGAATTGGCTAGGGAATTTTCACTGTGAACGTTTACACCTCAGAAATCTGCAAATGCTGTTGCAGATCCCGGGCTGGTTAATTGAAAGTGCTAGTGAACGCGCGAATAATGCAGATTAAATTTAAGTGTGTCTGTGTGTACACTCCCAACCCACCCACCCCCCTTCGTAGAGAGCCGGGGTCGTTAGAGACTTTTCCGAATGCCTCCAGATTCCTTCTATGCCTTCTCCTGGGAGACTCTGGGGAAATCGCTTGTTGTCTCCGGGGTTAGATTGTAAACTTCCTGAGGGCAGGGATTGTCTTATCTGCCTTATTTCCCTCCCCCAGGCAACTTCAGGACCCCGCTCTCTTTCCAGTGGTATTCAGCAGCCCGGATTTAGGGGAATTCAACAAATACGAATTAAGCTAAATGCAAAATACTGTGTAGGCACAGGACATACAAAGATTAAAAAAATAATAACAGTCTCTGTCCTCTAAGGGGGGCGGGGAGAGGGAGCCGGGAAACCAGCTTAGACCGGTGCCTGGCACCGGTAGGCGCTTCATATATGTCTGTGGATGAGATTGATCCAGCCTCAGTTTCCTCCTCCGTACAATGGAGCTAATAATACTGCCCCCATCCCCCACCCCGCTGGGTGCTAGTAGAGAAATGTGACCTGAGATTAGGGTTACTAAGAAGTGCCACTCAGAAAAAGGATAAATAACCCCTCCGGGAGAGGCTGGGAGGGGGAGACGGGGAGAAGGGTAGGCCGGCCCAGAAAGACTGGAGGGGTGGAAGAAAGCCCAGAGGTCCCTTTAAAGGAGGAGGCCCCGCCCCTTCTGTTCTCCTCGGCGTCTGACTGGTCTACGCCAGGCAGGGGGCGGGGCCAGGCGGGGCTCTGAGGAGGGTGTGGGGGCGGGGTCTCCAGTCCGCCCGGCCCCCGCCCCCTTTGTTCCCGCTGCCGCTGGAGGTGGCTAGAGAAGGGTGGTAGGTGAGCTCGGGGGCTTGGGGGTGTGCGAGAGGGTGTGAGTGAGTGTGTGAGCGGTGTGAGCGTGTGCGCGGGTGCGGGTGTGAGCGCGCTCGGGAGTGGGAGTGGATGGAGCTGGTCAGTTTCGACCTCAGCTGTCAGGTCAATTTCACCGCAGATCCTCTGGGCCCCGGCCACATGGAGGGCGCACGGGCGAGCGGGGAGCTCCGGGGTTCTGCTGCCGGCTCCGCATGATCCCCACCGAAGCCGCCGCCGCCGCCGCCTCGGGGGAGCATGTCACCTCCAGCTGCAGCCACAGCAGCCGGAGCAGCCGCAGCAGCAGCAGCCGCAGCGCACGACTCCAGTGCCAGCGCCGCCGCCTCCTCTTCCTCCTGCATCCTCAGGCACTAGCTCTCTGACTCTATCCCCTGATCCATGCCAGAGGTCCCTGGAGATCTGGGAGAGCCATGGCAAGCCAGGGTGACTGCTGCGTCAAGGTGGCTGTCAGGTAAGAGCCGAGGGGACGGGGCGCACGGGGAAGAAGGGGATGTATGTGTGTGTGTGTGTGTGTGTGTGTGTGTGTGTGTGTGTGTGTGTGT